TATTTTTAAATCGTTTTCTTCCCTTTAATTTTTCTTTTTTATTTCTTCTGTAACAATTTCTCTTTCTATTTTCCTATGATTTTCTTTATATATTTACACACACACACACACACACCATATATATATATATTTTCGGATATATCTTTTTCCCTATCATTTTCGTTATATTTATTATATATATATATATATATATATATATTCACTTGCTTGCATATTTTGTTTTTATTCTCTCAGTTTTTTTTTTTTTTTTATATTTATTTTTATTTATTTAAACGTTATTTTTTCCATATCATTTTAGATGCTCTGTTTTCATTTTTTCTTTTTATTTATTTTGACCTATTTAGAAATTCTTTCTTTTCCTATAACTTTCTCTTTCATATATTTTATCAGTTTTATATATTTTTCTTTTCCTTTCTTTCTACTTTTTTTTCTTTATCTTTCCTTTCTTTCTTTCTTTTTTCTTTCTTTCTTTCTTTTTTCCCTTCTTTTTTGTCTTTATCTTTTTATTTCCTATCATTTTTTCTTTCTTTCCTTTTCCTGTTATTTTGTCTTTCATTCTGTTTCCTATCATTTTTTTTTTTTTTTTTTTCCTTTTTCCTTTCTCATTTTTTTTATTTTCTTTTCATTTTTTTTCCTATCATTTACTCTTTCTTTTTTTCTTATTATTTTCTCTTTCTTTCTTTTCCTATCACTTTCTCTTTCATTTTTATCAGTTTTACTTTTTTTCTTTTCCTATAATTCATTTATCTTTCTATCATTTCTTTTTCTGATCATTTATCTTTATCTTTCTATTTGCTATCATTTTTTTTTTTCTTCCTTTTCCCTTTTCATTCTAATTTTTTTTTTTTTTCTTTTTCTTTCTTTTATAGAAAGAAGGAGAAAATCATTTTTTTTTTCCTTCTTTTTCCTATCATTTTTTCTCTTTCTTTTTCTATCATTTTCTCTCCTTCTTTTCTGATTTTATCTTTTTCTTTCCTGTCTTTTTTTCTTCTTTTTCTTTATCTCTTTCTTCCTTACCATTTTCTCTTTTTTCTGTTTCCCATCATTTTGCTTTCTTTCTTTTTCTATCATTTTCTTTTTTTCTTTTCCAATCAATTTTCCTATCATTTCTTTCTTTTTTTTGTCATTTTCTTTCTTTTTATTTTTATCATTTCTCTTTTTCTCCCATCATTTATCTTTCTTTTTCCAATAATTTTCTCTTTCTTTCTTTTTACTATTATTTTCTTCCCATTTTACTATGATTTATCTTTTTCCTATATTTTTCTTTCTTTTTCCAATCATTTTCTTCTCTCTATATTCCCCTATCATTTCTTTTTCTTTCGTTACTGATCGACTGATACTGGATTCCATCCGTTACTATTGTCTCTTTCTCAGATGTTCCTTTAATCGTTTTCTTCTTTTAATTTCGTATTTACCTCTGATTTCCATTCTTTCTGTTCTTTTTCAATTCTGTTGCCATTTTGTCAGTACGGATTTAATTCTTCCCTGAGCTGCTCAAGTATCTGCATGGAAATGAGTTCTCACAAGCAGAAAAAATATTTGGGTGTCAATCTGTGTACAGGGCAGAGGATTCAAAAAGAGTTGACTGAGTCTAATGGAGATTCCGAAGGTGTTTGGACTAGTTAATAGTAATGGCGACGTTATGCTTCCAATCATCTTCACATAAGGCCTCAGACTCAACACGGTGACCTAAATCAAGAGAGTGGCTGCTGGAAGACGCTATGTCTGGCAATAGGATTTTACACCATGCCAGAAAAGCAGGAGAACCCAGTAATGGCTGTAAGACAATTTCTGCGTTCACATCACCCCTGACATCTGACCACCTAGCTCCCCAGACTTAAAACCTCTTGATTAATATGTGTGGAATGCAGATGAGCCAGAGACCAACAAAACATCCTTTATCACCAAATATGAATTGAAGGCAAGGATTATGGCACCATTCACCAACTTAAGCAAGGAGACCATCCAGTAGAGATGCAGGCGATTCAAAACTCGGCTGGAGACCTTGGTTGAAGCCAGTGGCGACTTTATTGAATAAATTTATTATTCAGTATTTCAAGATATATTTGATTAATTTTGCTAATTATACCTGTTAAAATTATATGTCAGTGTTATTTTTACCTTTTGCGTAATTTACACGACAGCTAACCATCTCACCATGTATATATGTCTATTTATAGGTATAGGGTATTTATATGCGCATATCTGTGTAGATATACGTATGCAAACAATCAGATAGATAGTACCTGAGCTATCGATCTCTCTATATGTTTAATACTTGAAACGTATTCTTTTCATTTCACCCCAAGCAAGGCCATAATGCCAGTAAGTCGCAAGAGTTTACAAGGAGTGAAAGAAAATGATGAGACTTTAGTGAGGAGAAAAGACAATAAAAGAACTGAAGGTGACAACTGACGTTGCAATTACATTTTTAGTCCAACTTTAAAACTATGAGACGTAGAAACCAACGCAGTGGTACGCTAAAATTCGCGCGGTCCAGGTACCAATGAGGAACGCTCATCAGAACAGTTGTCATGAAAATATTTACAGACACAGAGAAGCCACGTGTCGGCGTTGCTAAACTGATTGAAGCCGTGATGCCAGATCAGGACCGATAACATAACCGACTCATCTTTTGTTTTTGTCGATAATCTCGAGATATATCGCACGCTCGGATGACTAAATATAGCAGCAGTATTTAATGTGCGGACGAATAGTGGTTTTATATCTGAGCAAGATGAATAGTAACGAAAAAAATTCTCCTTCTTTTACAGTAGGGTTCGCCCAATACAAGGCCTGAGATCACTCAGTATAGAGGGTTTCGTTAGGAAGCCATTTGTGTATACAGGATTGGGAGGTAACCCTAGCCTTGAACAGGTCAAGATTGTAGTGATCGGTGAAACATCCTGTTAGGACTCGGTTTCTCAGGTCAGTGCATAGCGAGAAGAAGCTACTCGAGTGGAACTTACTTCTACCTGACGGAATATTGAGGGATACATACTTACATAGTAGCAATAGAGGGTTGCTACTATGTAAGTGGAATGGCGTTTCCTTGCTGTGAAATTGCGCGCAAGACGTTTTCAGAGCTTACAACCGCTGACACGTAGTGAATATTGCGATAAAAATGAGGCTAACAGCCCGAATAATGTAAATAATCATAATACACCATGGTGTAGTCTATGAGACGTGAGTGAGTGTATATATATATATATATATATATATATATATATATATATATATATATATATATAAGATATAAATTCATTTATAACAAAACATATCTGTAAAAAGGTTATTTTTATTTTTTGCTTATTTTTACATCGTTTTTGTTTCTTTTCTTCGAAACAAAATGGTGATTTTTCTAAGCGTAGCTTAGATGTGGAATCAGGCCTACAAAATTGGCCACTGATTGAGGACCGAAATCACTACACAGCCGTAATTGATCTAGCGAGACAAGCGTGCTCAGCTTTACATCACGTCAACAAAAGTTTTTCTATACGTAACTGAGATGCTACACAATGCTGAAAGAATGTAGTACATAGTGAGGATCGAACTCACAATTTAATCGTAGCAAATCTAGCGAGACAAACCTGTGAACCATCACACGACGACGAAGGTAAATAACTGCAATTCAAAAATAAATTAAGCCAAAGCTGCCACTACCGAAGAAGTAAAAATAAAATTCGCTCTAAAATGGCCCCTGCTTTGCCTTCGGCCTGTTGTGAATAAGAAATCCGACATTACGCTAGTCAGCCTGCTTCGATTTATTATTGTTTCCCCATATTTTTACGAGATTGTGTTCTTGTTGTTTTCTTTTCGGCTTAGAGTTCAAAATAGAATGAAACACCTCATTCTCAGTTAAAAAAAAAAAAGATGGGAACGACGCAAATCGCGCGCACAACCCTTTAAGCGCATTTATTCTCAAAAAACAAACTCCCCCTCCCCAAAAAAAAACAAAACAAAAACTGTAATATGCACGCCAAATCAGCAAACTTACATGGCCGACACGAATTTTGGGCTCGTTTAATAGCCAGTTGGTCTGGTTTAATTTAATGAGCAAGATTTGTTGTCTTCTTAAGCGCAGTACGAAGAAAGACCTCCCATCAAATGGCCGGATTTATTTTCCTTCTGCTAAGCAAATTTTTCTTTCATGGTGTCTCTAAGTTCTTTGATGTGCGTCTATAATCACTCTTATCTGATCCGTACACATTGTCATACAGACGATAAAATGAAACTCGTTAACTGTGAACTTATTCAATGTCTGTATCAGACGAATAATGTTGCATATAAGGAGGGCACTTTAAGCGTTTTTCCAATATTTGATAAATATATTCAGATCGACCAAAATTACGCCCACCGAAACTCTAATGTTTGGTTTTTTGCTCAGATCTTGTTAGTTTGTCTGTCCATATATATATATATATATATATATATATACAGGAGTAGATTAATTCGCCTGTCGCCCGGTTCATACCCTCTCCGGTTCTTTGAACAAGTCTAGACGTTTATCACTTATTTATTTTATAGGACTAAGTTTCAGTTCCTTCTAAAAGCCTTTTCATTCTCTTTCACTCCAAGTAGCTCTAGCCCTTGCATAGGCGTGAAGTGATTAATATATATATATATATATATATATATATATATATATATATATATATATATATATATATATATTATATTCTGTAGTTCACTGCTGCCAACAAGCAGAATTTTTTTTCTTCTGATGATGGCCGAAACTAGTCGAGTAATCTACATGAAATAATAATAATAAAAAACGAAAGAATATTAATCTACATCTCAATTTGTCTGAAGATTTGAATTTTTAATATTTTTATTGTTCAATATATATATATATATATATATATATATATATATATATATATATATATATATATATATTCGAAAATTATAATATAAATATATTTATAAAATCATTAAAAATAGCCATTTTGTTTCAACAGTTCTGGTGTCTTAACACCATCACGTTGTAAGACACAGAACTGTTGTAACAAAATGGCTATTTTTGTAGTGATTTTATTACATATTTATGTTATAATTTTCGAATAAATTATATTTTCTCTACTCTGTATTGAGCACTTTTTAAGAATAGTATTTTTTATGATTGGAATTTATTCCATATACACCAAGCCTATACTTGTTGATGTGGGGCCAAAGTTGGGACCACAGAAGTAAAACACGGAACACAGATTAGATGTAAGAAAGATATATTAACAACAGGTTACAGAGATAGTGTAAGCGGAGCTTACTATATGTTACTGTCCAATACTGGTAGTCGTACTAGACTCTCACTGTCTCTCTGTGTCACTCTCACTAGAGTGTTGCGTTGCATACTTAATATAGACCTGGAAGAGTCTATTGTGTGAGTAGTTCAGTTCAAGCTTATATATATATATATATATATATATATATATATATATATATATATATATATATATATATATATATATATATATATATATATATATATATATATATATATAGTGTGTATTTAGGTAACATTTTTCATTCCTACATTTTCATTAAATAATATAGACAAGTGTTGTCTATTTATTTTATGTAAATTATTTTCATAACGGCTAATAAGGTTAATAACATCATTAAACAAAGAAAGAAAATAACAATACTGATGTATATTTTTTAATCAAATCTAAGCTTTCGGCTTACATAAGCCATTATCAAAGATGTCAATTACTGTACAATATATTAAGCAATATAGGGACAAGACAGTGATGATAGTATGTTATTGTTTACATGGATGATTTACAAGCAACGATAAACACGTGTGCATAAGTCGCTAGAAGAGAAAATCGCACTGCAGCACATGACGTCACACATGACCACCCGAGAGTGAATTTGAGAAGTATTAAATATGGGAAGCCGTTGGTATAAACCAATGGCTTCTGTTACCAATTATAGACATTTAAGGATATTTGTAGAGATTCCATAGTTGATTCTGTTTAGGTTATGTTTCAACTTTTTGTTGTATATAGCTTAAAGGATTTTTAGTTTTTGTTTATTGTTTTCATGTTTAAGTATAATTGTGTTTTCGACTAGGCTTTTACAGAATTTTTGAGTGTGGCCAGGCATGTTGTTTTAAATGCCTAACAATGCATATATATATATATATATATATATATATATATATATATATATATATATATATATATATATATTTATATATATATATTATTTATATTATATATACTCGGTAAAGCGCTCAATACCAGTGATAGAGCTAACCTACATAGTTGGATTGATGTGAGTTTGTGACTCTGGGTTTCCCTCTCTTTGCTATCGTCTGTCAAAGT